TTAAGACTTGCGGGAGCCGGAGGACGAGGCGAGAGCTCGCCAAGGAGAGCCTCGGGCTCCGAGACGGCTCGCGGGCGGCGGGGGCTCCGGCCGGCACCGGCGAGCCTCCGCGGCCTCCCCGGCGGGACCCCGGCTCCCTCCTGCCCGGCCCACGGCCTTGCCTCGGCTCGGAGACGCAGCCTTTCCCGGGAACAGGTGAAGGGCAGCGGCGGCTGGGGCCTGGGGGCTGCGGGGGGGGGGCCGGCTTTGTGTGTGCGGGGCCCGGGCAGGGGCGCGCGGGGCGCGCGGGGGTGTCGGCCGGCGGGAGCGCGGACGGGGGGGATCGCGTGTGCACTTGGGCCGCGGCGGAGCAGGGCGCGCTCCGGGGCGAGGCGGGCGGCGAGGCGGGCAACCGGCTGTGCAGCCGGAGCAAGGGCCTCGGGTCCGCTTGGCGTGTGCGCGGCTGGGCGCGGCGGCCCCAGCGTGGAGCGCGCGGGGCGCGGGGAGGCAGCAGGCCCCGCACCCCTCGCCCCTGCGGCGTCCGCGCGGAGCCCGGCCCGCGGTCGGAGCCCGCAGAGTGGGCGCGGGTGGGGGTCTTCCTTCCTTGCTTTTCCGCCCCGGAGCTCCTCGTCTCTGTGTGTCTCTCTCTTTCGGAGATACCTGGATTTGGTCCAGAACAGGTTGCCCGCGGGAGGGCCCCGCGAGCGGCAGCGCGAGGGAGGGAGAGAGGGAGGGAGGGCGAGAAGGAGGGAGGGAGGGAGGGAGGGAGGGAAGGAAGGAGGGCGGGCAGCGGCGGCTGCGGTGGCCGCGGCTTCCCTCCCCCGGCGGGCGGGCGGGAGGCGGCCGCCCTGCAGCTGTGGCCGTGGGGAGCCGAGGAGCAGGTAACGGCGGCGCTTCCGAGGCGGGACTGGACCGCGCCGGAGGCACCGAGGCTGCCGCGCTGCGCCCAGCCCCGGGGGCGCGAAGGTAGGGAGGCCGGCGCCGGCCGCGGGCGCGAGGCCCGGGGTGTTGAACCTGTATTTGATTTTCGGCTCGCACTCGCGCTGCCGGCCTGTCTGCGTCCGGGCTGCGCCGCCCCACACCCTTGGCTCTGGGCGGGGGCCGGGCGCTCGGGGCTCTCGGCGGCCTGTGCGCTCCGGGCCGCGGGGTCCCGGCCGCGCGCCCCCAGGGCGCTCCCCGGGCCGCTGGAGGCCGGCGCCCCGCTCGCCTCCGCCCGCGCGGGGTCCCGGGGCGCCCCGGGCCGCGGCCAGACCAGACAGCCCCCGCGCCGGCGGGGAGGGCGGGGAGGGCGGGGAGGGCGGGGGGCGGCCCGCCGCCCGCGCCCCGGGGCTGCACTTCGGGCGCGCATTGTGTCCCGGTTCGCCACCTCGGCTCCGTCGGCCCGGCCGCCAAAGTCACCGCAGGCTCCCCGGCGACGCGCACGGCACACAAAGGCCAGGTGGCCGGGCGCGCGGCGCGGGGCGGCCCGGGGCCCGCGAGCACCCCGCGCGGGGCCGCCGCCTCCCGGCCACTCCCCGGGCTGGGCCAGCGGGGCGGGCCGGGGCGCCGGAAGTAGCCCCGCTGGCGGCGGGCGAGCAGGCCGTGGCGTTGGGAGGGCCACGTTCACTGGCCGCGGGGCCCGCCGCCGCCCGGCGCCCGGTACCCACCTGGGGGGCGTCCGCGGTCCCCTCGCGGCGGCCCGGGCGGCGCAGCCTCTGGCGCAGCGCAGGCCCTGGCCGGGACGAGTCGCGGGTGGGTGCGTTTCCCCAACAAAGAGGCCTCGGGAGCGAGAAGGGGGGAAAGTAGCGGGACCCGGGGAGGGGCCGGGGAGGGGGAGAGGGCAGCGGAGGGGTGAAGCGAGCCCGTTGCAGGGCGAGAAGGAAAATGAAAGCAAACGGAGCGCGGCCTGCTCGGCCCGGCGCGGGCGGTGCTGGTGCAGCCGAGCCGGGGCGGGCTCCCCTCCCGCCTGCGCCGCCGCCGGGGCGCCGGGGAAGCCTGTTTTAAATTTAATCCGAACTTGACGGTGTGGATTGAACCGGAGGGAATTTAAATCACTGAGAGGGAGGCCGCAGGGCGAGGGGAGGGGACGCCTCTAACCTGTCTGTCTGTCTGTCTGTCTGTCCTTCCCCGGGTGCTGCTAGCTGGGTTGTGGTGGTAGCTGGGCGGGTCTGAGGTGCTGCAGTGAGGGTGCCCCTCCCCCGTGGGGGGCTCTCCTGGGCCCAGTGAATTCTTTTGGGGGGTCGGAGGCAGGCTCTGAGAGCCGGAGCGAAGGCAGGGCTGCTGGCTGAAGCTGGGGTTTCCCCCCCTCGCCAACAGGGACTCCCAGTGTCCTCCAGGGCCTGGGGTTGGCCCCACCGGTGCCGAGGAAGATGGAAGGGAGTGCAGGGGGGGGGCGGGGAGGGAGTCTGGGAATCGGGCAGGAGGTTCAGCAGGAGTGGGTGAACCTGGAAAGACCAGCCCCTGCATCCTTTATGCCCCTAGGTCTGGAGGCCTGCATTTGGGGGGGGGGGGGAGCCTGAAGTTCAGCTTCAGAGCCCTGACCTGCCACCCCCCTCCTCCCCCACATGCAGAGCCTAGGGGTACAGCCCACATGCAGCTGTGAGGCCCCCCGGGACCGGGCCTGGTGAACTCAGGGACTCCCAGCCTCTTCCAGCCCCCCTCCTCGCGGCTGCTGCTCTGTGCAGGGCCTAGGCAAACCCGGGCCCTGGTGGGGAGGGGGCTGTGGGCGAGGCCTGCTTCCTGATCCACAGCTGTGTCTGTGCCTGAGTGGGGAGGGTCTGAGTTCGCGCTCTGGAACCAAGGCGACAATCTCCCCTCAGTTTCACGGGGACTTTGACGGCAGCAGGGAGCCGGGCCCGGGATCGGCCGCCCGCTGCCGCCGCCTGTGCTGCGTGGGCAGGGAGGGTGGGCAGGCAGCTCGGGAGTCCCAGAGGAGGAAGTGGCCACCGGGCCAGGAGAGGACGGGGCTTCTGCTTGCGGCCCGGTGTCAGAGGGGCTCTCCCGGAATGCAGAGGCCCCCGGGGAAGGGTCCTCAGGGGCGCCTTTCTTCTAGGAAAACTGAGGTCGGGGCAGATGGGCCCTGTGCACTGGCGAAGACGCCAGAGGAGGAGCGGGCGTGAGACCTCCTGCTTCCTCCTCGGGTCTCCCTTGCTCCCTGACTAGAGCGTGGCTCGGCCCCCGGACGCTGCCGGGGTGGCTGCCTGGGCCGAGTCGGGGCTCTGCATCCTCCAGAGGCCCAGTGTGCCCACCCCGGCGGGTCGCCCGGGAGGGGCCGGAGAGGAGGCCTCTTCCTCCTTTGTGTCCGGACAGAAGTGGCCGCCGCGCCCGAGCCGGTCCCGCGGCAAAGGCCGGCAGCCAGCGGGCTGCACAATGCCACGGCTGCTCCCGGCGCGCCCCTGCCCCGTCCGCGTCCCCGGCCTGTCGGCCTGTGGCCTGTCGCCGCCCTTCCTCCCTCTCCTCCCCGCACGCCTTCCTCTCGCTGCTGGCCCATCTCTTTTCCTCTTGCCCCCTCTTTCCTTTAATTCTCCCCTCTCCTTTTCTTTTTATCTCGATCCTCCGTTTTCTTCTCTCTTTCCCTCCTTCCTTCCTCTCCATGGGCCTGGCGCCGTGTCTCAGTTGTTGTGTCTCAGGCTCAGTCTCTCTCAGGCTCTGTCCCCTGGTGTCCTCTAGGTCTCTGTCTGGCCCCGGGCCCGCTGAAGGCTGCACGTCTCTGCTCACTGCTGCCAGCAGCCGCCCAGGAGCCAGGCGGGGTCCCCCAGCCGCCGGGGCTGGGGGAGGTGCTGGTGGTGCTGGGGGGGCTGGAGAAAGCCTTGGCAGGGGGACGGGAGGGAAGCTCCTGCCTTTTCCTTGAACTAGTGAGGGCGAATATTTGATTGACAGCTAACCCGACTCCATCAAGGCCAAAGAGATATTCTGTTTCTTGCTGTAATTTGGATTTTCCACACCAGTCCTGTCCGGGGGAGGGGAAGGCAATCAGAGCTGAGGGCGAGGAGGCTGAGGCCCCGGGGTCGTCTCTCCCCAACCGGGCACTTCTCACACACCCCCGTGCGCGTCGAAATCCCAGCCCCGCTAGACCGAAAGGGAAAGAACCGGAGAGGGGGAGGAGCAGGGACTGGGGAGGAGACCTGGAAAGCTGGGGCCAGTGCTGCGGACTGCAGATCTACCCTCCCCCCTCCCTGCCAACTTTCCTCCCCCCCCCTGCACCACAACACACATGATGCACTCTCTGGGACACCTCTCTCTAGCCCTTCTGCACACCCCGGAGGAGACAGGTCGACAGAGGTGCGGGGGAGCACCATCCTCCACCCCCACCCCCAGCGTTTGGTCCCCTCCTGGGGACAGGAGTGGGAAAGCAGGGCAGGCGGCTCCTGTCTGGGAACCCTCGTCCTTCCCTGCTGCCTCAGAACCTGTGTCTCAGCCTCAGCTCCAGCCTATTTCCCAGAGCACAAGCTGGGACTCTTCTGTCCTGACCCTGAAATTGCATCCCCTGCTTCAGACTCACTCTGCCGTGCCTGGGGTGCATCGTGTCTCTGGGGGACACCACCTGCCCTTCTCTCTACCCCCCAGCCATCCTCCCTGCCCCCTCTCCTGCACCCACACTGACACTTTCCTGCCTGCCCAAAGCCCACCTTTGCTAACCCTCCATGGGGCAGTCTGACGGGAAGCAGGGGGCTGGGCGACAGACCCCCAAATTCAAGGAGGAGGGTAGCAGCCAACTTATTGTGGGGGGGGGGAGGAGGATTCCAAGTTGTCTGATCTTCCCTACAATCACACTGCCCCCTCCGGAATTCCTGCGTCCGACCCCAAAGAAATGGCTTTCTCCCATCCCTCCGTTGCTCTTTTCCCGTTCCAAAAACAGCCTACAATTTTATTTAATGAAAGACACATTTATGAACAATCAAATGATCCTCATAAAAATTTTATTGAAGGACGTAAAAACAAGCTACTTGCCCACGACCGAGGTCGCTCTCTCTCTCTCGCCTTGCCCGCGCTCACCCTGGCTCTCTGCAGACAGAGCCCTGGAGTGACTTCTTTTTTTGGGGGGGGGGGGCGCGCGGGGTGTCGCAGAGATGGAGTTGGGGGGGGCGAAGGAGGGCGAGCAGGAAGACGGGATGGGGACGCCCCAGGGAACTTGTGCCGGTCTCCCCTCCACTGCTCCAAGCTGGCAAAGAAAGATAAATAGATACAGACAATAAATTTAACATAAAGGAGCTCGCATATCTGTGCCAAAGCAAAGAGAGGGCTTGTGGCGATGAAGGTGTGTGAGGTCCCGAGGTCCCGAGGTCCCACCCCTCCCGCGCGCAGACCCCCTTCGCCGGGCTGCCCTGCCCCGGATTCGGATTCGGGGGGCCGAGTTGGCCAGTGGCAGGAGTGGACGCTCCCCTGTCCCTCCTTCCCTCCCTCCACCCCAGCTTCCCCAGTCCCCTCCCACCCTCCCTCCCTCGCTGCTGCCGCTGCCCCTGGAGGAGATACATACATACGCGGTATTTAAAAACGCATTTCTAAGAGCCACGTTCCGAACTGACAATCGCTGGTCTCGGCTCGCGCGGAGACTGCGGGCGCGTCGGGCCGACAGAGACGGATTACGTCAAGAAATAGTTCCTCCACCTACCTCGGCCTCTGCGCCCCTGCGGGCTGCGGCGCGCGCGGCTCGGCTCGGCCCGGGGGTCCGGGCGCCCTGGCCTCGGGGGCCGGCAGCGCCGCCCCGCCCCGCGGGCGAGCGCCCGGGGGCGCGGGGCGCAGGGGGCGCGGGAGGCCCAGCGCGTGTGGGCGGGCGGACAGGGGCAGGGGTGCGGGCGGGGAGGGGCGCGCTGTCCTGAGCGGGGGGGGGGGGGGGGGGTGCCCGGCGCGCTGGGTCCGCGGCTCCGGACCCCGCGGAAAACGCAGGGGTCGCGGGGATCAGCAGAGAGAAGGGGGTGGGAGAAGGGAGGAGAAGGGAAGAGGGGGGGGGAAAAAAGGCAAGAAAAAAAAAAAAAAAAAGCCCCTGCGCATTGATCCGCGCCGTATTTTTGGGTAAATACGATCACGTGGGGGCCGGGGAGCCAATGAGCTGCGGGGAAAAGGCTGGAAAAATAATTACCTGCCTTGATTGTTCTGAGAGCAGATAAAAAGTACATATACAGTTCATGCAATAATCTCATGTATGTAAAACCCCGTTACGATGTCGGCGACGGGGCCCATCAGTAACTATTACGTGGACTCGCTCATCTCCCACGACAATGAGGAGCTGCTAGCGTCCAGGTTCCCGGCCACCGGGGCTCACCCCGCCGCCGCCAGACCCAGCGGCTTGGTGCCCGACTGTAGCGACTTCCCGTCCTGTAGCTTCGCGCCCAAGCCCGCGGTGTTCAGCACGTCGTGGGCGCCCGTGCCCTCGCAGTCGTCCGTGGTGTACCACCCGTACGGCCCCCAGCCCCACCTCGGCGCCGACGCGCGCTACATGCGGACTTGGCTCGAGCCGCTGTCGGGCGCCGTCTCCTTCCCCAGCTTCCCGGCCGGCGGCCGCCCCTACGCGCTCAAGCCGGACGCCTACCCCGGGCGCCGCGCCGACTGCGGCCCGGGCGACGGCCGCAGCTACCCGGACTACATGTACGGCTCGCCCGGGGAGCTGCGCGACCGCGCCCCGCAGGCGCTGCCCTCGCCCGAGGCGGACGCGCTCGCCGGCAGCAAGCACAAAGAGGAGAAGGCCGACCTGGACCCCAGTAAGTCGGGAGCGATCTGGCTTTACGACCGGCCGGGCCGGGCCGGGCCGGGGGCGGGGGGCGGCGGGGTTACAGCCCCTCGCGGCGGCGCGGGGCGCGCGGGGCGCGGGGGCGAGCGCGGGCGAGCGCGGGCGAGCGCGGGCGAGCGGGGGCGAGCGCTCCATAAAAGCGAATTACCTCGGGGGAGCTTTGGGGGCGGGAAGGTCCGCGCGGGGAGCCCGGGGAGCCAGGCTGGGAGAGGGCCGAGGGGGCCCCCGTCCCCGGAGCTGCTCTGATGAGGGCCCCCCCCCCCCGCGCGCGCACACTCCACCCCCAGCCCAGGCTGCCTCTTTTTCTTTTTCTTTTTTTTCTTGGTTTTTTTTTTCTTTATTATTATTATTATTATTATTTATTATTTATTTATTTATTTATTTATTTTGGCTCAGTCCCTACTTTCCTAGAAATGCACACAAGGAGATGGGGAAGGGGATGGAGAGGATGGGGATGGAGATGGAGATGGCATGGAGATGGGGCAGGGGCAGGGGCAGGGGTGAGGGTCATTTCAGGCTTTGAGATGGGATTAGGGGAGAAACCAGGAGGACACTGGGGACACAGAGGAAATACCCCAGGGAGACAGATCACCCCTGCCTCCCCGCCTGCCAGCGTGGGGGGGGGCGGTGGTTCTGGCCCCACTAGGGATCCATTACACAGAAGGTGCCTTGCCTGGACTTCTTCTCCTCCCCATCCCTCAGGAGCACTAGGTGAGGGGGTCTGCAGGGATTTCACAGCCTGGGAACTTGGGAGAGATCAGGACTTGCAGAGTTGGGGAAGAGAAGTGGGGTCCCAGTCTCCTTAAACTTGAGAGCCCTCTTCTGACTGAGGGTCTGCAGGAAAGAGGGTTGAGAACCGGGCTCAGGGACGAGGACTGGAAGGGGGGAGTCATATCCTCAGATTAGGGAATTATATATATATATATATATATATATATATATATATATATGTATGTATACACACACACACACTCCCATCAAGGAGACTGGAGCCTTCTGAGTATTGCAAAGAAGGGCAGGGGTAGGTTGGGGGGGGGGCAGGTGGGAGCTGCTGGGCCAGAGAAAGGGGAAAGAAGGGGAACCAGCAGGGGAGGGGGTGCAGCCCCTGAGTGTGAGGAAGTGTCTGGGGGAGTCCCAGGAGGGGGCTGCAGGAAATCCTTTCCTGCAGCCCCATAAGGGGCCAGGGCCTAATTATACCCCTCTGAAGGCTTCCCTCCTTGCCCTCAGCTACTCCCATAAACCTGAAATTGGAGGCTTGGCTCCTGCAAAGCCTGTCCTGGGGCTGGCAGGAGGGGGGCACTGGGAGCCAAACAGGGAGGCTCAGATATGGGGGAGCCTGTCCCAAGGCCAGCAGCTCTCTAGGGAGAGGAGAAAGGCTTTCCCCATCCTAGCATCACTCTGAGAATTCGCCTCAGCAGGGTTGAACTCCGAGAGGGAGCGGAGACGGGCGCTGCAGAGGGTAGTGAGGGGCTCAGGGACTCTCAGGGTCAGGAAACAGATCTGCTGAAATTTCAGGACTTGGTCGTGGGCAGGGAGGATGGGAGGGGGCAGAGGAGGAGGGAAGTGGGGAGGAGAGAGACCTCGCTATAAAAATAAAAAACAAGAGAGAGAAGCGTTTATGGGCCTATGAAACGGTTGGGAATTTGGACTTTTTATGAGCATATTCTCGAATTACTACTCTTGAAGCTGACGACCAGACTGTAGGGGCTTTGATAGCTTTGATTTCCTAGAGTTTGAGGTGCTAGGAATGGAAGAGGGGGAAGATGGGGAGGGGGCAGCAGGCAAGAGGAGTCAGGGAGAAAATTGCAAAAGCAAAACGTGTCCAAATTCAGGTTCACTCATTGCATCTGGGGCGCCTGGCTCAGCCTGGGGGTAGGGGTGGCGGGGGGGGGGGGTCCTGGGCTGGAAAGGGGGCTCCACTGACCCCTGCCTGTGTTTGGCCCTCCAGGCAACCCCGTGGCCAACTGGATCCACGCCCGATCCACGAGGAAGAAGCGCTGCCCTTACACCAAGTACCAGACGCTGGAACTGGAGAAGGAGTTTCTCTTCAATATGTATTTAACCAGGGACCGTCGGTACGAGGTGGCCCGGGTTCTCAACCTCACCGAGCGGCAGGTCAAAATCTGGTTTCAGAACCGGAGGATGAAGATGAAAAAGATGAATAAAGAGAAGACCGACAAGGAGCAATCCTAAACCCTGCCCCAGCCTGCTGCCTCGGCACAGCCAAGGGAGAAACAAAAAACCCCACAAAAATACCCCAACCCAGGCGGGAGAGAGCACGAAAAGGAAAGGAAAAGAGCAAGAGAGAGAAAAGCCAATCAGCTTAAAAAGAAAAAAAAAAAAAAGGAAGGGGAAAAGGAAAACTCTTGCAATTGGGGAGGGTTCAGTGTTGAGAAATTGGTGTTTTAGAGTTAGTTCTACCCAGCAAGGAGGAGGAGGAGGAGGAAGAGGAGGAGGAGGAGGAGGAGGAGGGGAGAGAAACCTCGTTCTCTTCTCCCAGCGCGACTGAAATAAATAACACACACAAATGTGATTTTTCCCCCTCCTTTCTTCAGAGAAGCCAGTACTTGAATCGCTATATTTCTATTTTTTTTTTTCTGTATCGTATTTGATCCGGGCCGTCCCTCCCCAGGCCTGGGGTGCTCCGCGTGCAGATTTTGTACACACACACAAAAAAGCAAAGACACCCACACATACACAATAGCAATTGCCAGCCCAGGAGCTGAGGGCCGAGGGCCCGGACGGTGCCGAGGCCGGGTTAGAGGCCGGGTCGGCGCAGGCCGGCGCCTCGGGCGGGCGTTGTACATAGCAGTGTCTCTCCTCATCCCCAGCCGCCGTCCTGTAACGTGCTTCTGTTTGTTATGGTAGAGCAGCTCTGTGTTAATATATCGAAGTCACTTAAAAAACCAGAAACCCAACCGCATCCAGTTCTCGTTATTTCTCCTCCCTGTGGCTCCCAGGCTGCTGTCGTGGAGGAGGCAAGTGCTCAGATCCTTTGGGGAAAGCCGGAGCCAGGGAAGGGGCTTCCTCGGCGTCCTCGGCCTCCTCGGAAGGGCAAGTGCCTGCCGCCGCTCTCCGGGCAGCGTGGGGTGGGCGTGAGGGCTCCAGGGGTGGGGTGGAGGCTGCTGAGGCCCGGCGCAGCCTGTGTCTGCCGGGGCGGCTGCCTGAGAGCTTCCTGGTAGCTCGTTGGAGTCCAGGGGGGTGGGGGCATGGCATGGATGGTTTTCCCTGGCTGTAATTAATTGTAATAATTTATGAGTACACGAGATCGGAGGGAAGAGATAGGTGAAGATGAAAGTTGGGTGCTGGGTGAGGGCCCGGGCTGGATTCTTGCCTGCCTGCATTGGTGCTTCGAGGGATGGCTGGGAGGGAGGGAGGGAGTGCGGTGAGCGGTGAGGAGGAAGGCTGAGCAGGCCTCAGGGAGCAGAAGAGTCTCTGGGGACTGCATTCCGAGTAAAGGAAGGGGGAGAGGGACAGAGAGGAAGGTAGAGGGAAGGGGAGAAGGAAGCAGGGAGAGGAGGAAGAAGAAGGAAGGAAGGGAGAGAGGGAGGAAGGAGAATGATGGCAAAACCAGTACAATCCTAATTCGGTTTAGTTTCAACTTCTCTGTGCATTCTCAGCTTTTCTCTTCGCTCTCCTCCTAGTTCTCTTTTCTCCTCCGCCTCTCTCTCTCTCTCTCTCTCTCTCTCTCTCTCTCTGTCTCTGTCTCTCTCCCTGTCTGGTGTTTAGTTTGCATGTTGGTTTGGGGGTAACAGGGTGATGCTTGCTGAGTGGCTGCAGCCTTTCTGGGGGATGACATGGCCAAGGCCTAAGGCAGCTGGTCAGGGATTAGCCCAGAGTGGGGTGTTCCCTGGCGGTGGTGGGACCCCAGGCGCAAGGGTAGGGGCCTGGTGTGTGCCACAGCCCGTTGGTCAGTTGCACTGCACCCCCCGAGCGCCTGCCCCAGCCCCGGCAGTTTTCACCCGCTAATCAGAAGCAGACACAAGCTGCTGGGTATGCCTCGGCCCGGCGCCCCCTTTCTCGGAAATCCCCCAATCTGGAAACTATTAAACTCAGACGGCTTGAAATATAGCGCTTTAATATCTCAGGCTGCCCATTCTGGCGAGGGGTGCAGGGTGTTGTTCTGAGTACTTGGGGAATACCACCGTAAAAGAAAATAACTGGGGATCCCAGTCCTTCTGGAGCTTCCTCCACGGCATGGCCTTCCAGGATTGGTGAGGCACTTGGAGGGACCAGCCCCTTCCCCATCATTTGAATCTCCTACCCCCTCCTTCCATTCAGCAGGCCAATTTCGGGGGCTAGAGGAAGGCTGGAAGGCAGGAACGTTTTGCTGGGATGATCTTTGAGGGGGATGGTCAAAAGTCGCAAACACTGGTTTTCCCAGTGGCTGAAGCACCCTCTCCTCTTGCCCACTGCAGAGACCTCCTCCCTGATTCCAGAAGCAATTGTTTTCTTGGCCCTTTCGCAAGGTGCTTTGCCAATAGTTTATTCTCTTTTCTCGGTCCTCACACACCCCACCCCCTTGGCCACTTTGCTCTCCTGGGACCCTGGCCTCAGTTCCGCTCCAGGACCCGTCCCCCCCCCCCCCCGGGGGGCTGACTGCCTCCTGACTGTGGGGACTCAGGCTTTTCTCCCAGCCCAGGCTCCGAGGCGGCGTTTCCGGGCTTCCACCCCGCCCCTGCTCCAAGGCCCTGTCGCCTCCCCTTGTCCATCAGCGCGGCCTGCTTCCTGCAGCCGCCCGCCCGCCGCCTGCCGGAGCCGGCCCTGCTTGGGGCAGGAAGGAGGGCCGCAGGGCTCAGGGCTCCAAGGGCCCTGGCGAGAGCGTGGGATCCAGAACAGGCCCACCCGGCCCCAGCCCACTGTTCGGTTCCAGCTCAGCCTCCAGCCTGCAGGTCAGGATTGGATCCCATTTTTTATTTATTACAATTTGTGAACTAAAACCACAACACAGCACACATCCAGAGAAAAGAAACGAAAGCTGGGGTGGGGTGGGGTGGGGAGAGGGGCCAGCAAACGCCCTCCTGCCCTAATCTTCCCTCCCACCTCTCCTCTGCTCCTTTGTCAGAATCACAAAACCCTAAAGGTTGTTCCACTTGGGAAGGCAGCGGATAGGTACATTTCCGCAGCCCCGAAATGCCACTTTTATGGCGCTGTTTGTCTCCCTACGCTGGATTCTGAATGGGGCTGAACAAAACAGCAGCGCGGAGCTGGCTAGACGTCTGGGCTTAATTGTTTTATGGTTTAAATAAGGTGGACACTCTTTCCTTTGAAATCGGATTATAGGAATGTTTTGTCTATGGCCCACGGAGAACAGGACCTCACTGGCTGGGAGAGAGAGGTGGAGAGAGAGAGAGAGAGAGAGAGAGAGAGCGTGAGCGAGAGAGAGAGGGAGAGAGAGAGGGATGGGCTACAAACCAGGGGGCCAACAGTCGGGAGAAGTCAGAGTCCCACCCCAAAGTCCTGCAGACGGCGGCGGAATAGGCGGTGCGGAGCCAGCGGCAGGGTAAGAGGAGCGAGGAGTTTAGGGTGCGCGCCTCGGGAGCCTCGGGGCGTGCATCTGCTTGAGCGGAGGTGGTCCGAGCCCAGAAATGCGCCTGAGTAGGGGGCAGATCGCGGCAGCTCCTTGGCACAGCGTCTCTCCATGCGGGAAGGGAGGGTGACAAAAAGAGAAAAGAGCGTGAAACCTTAGACAAGGCTTATCTGGAGACCTTGGGGAGCTAAAAGGACGGCGGTCCCCGGGGGAGCTCCCTTCTGGGGACCCCCCCCCCCCGTGGCGCGCCCGCTTGAAGACTCCTGCCTCTGACCTCCCACCTTGGGGGCCAAGGCTGGGACCTGCTCGCCCCGGCCGCGGGCCCTCGCGGGGCCGCGCTGCGTGGGGGCGAGCGGACGCGAGGTGGCGCTGTTGCTCAATGTTAGAGGCGGCGGCGGCGGCGGCGGGGCCCGGGCGGCCCGGCCGCGCTGACATCGGAGGCCGGCGCCCGCGAGCCGCCGAGAAGGCCCCGCGCCCGGCCCGGCCCAGCCCGGCCCGGCCCGGCCCGCCGCTCCGAGCAAATCCATCCTCTCACCTGCGAGGTGCAAACAAGTCGCGCGTGGCGTTGGGACACGGGGCCCGGCTCGGGCCGCAGGCTCGAGGGGCTCGGGGGGCGGGCGTCGAAACCCGCCGCTGGCGAAGGCGATAAGGAAGGCGATAAGCGCCGAGCAGGCCCCGCGTGATTGACACAAAAAGGCAGGATGACCCGGACAGACGAACCGAAATCCGTGGTACCTAGGAGGGCGGAGCAGGCCCGGGGAGGCCGGGGACGCCCCTGCGAGGGTGGCTGCTTGGGTTCCTCCATCTCCAAGCTCCTGGAGCCTCATCAACCAGACACGTGGAAAAGAAAAAAAGATAATCATAATCGTGAAAAGGAGAATCAAATGAAAAAAAAAAAAACAAGAAAAGGCAAGGGACACCCCTCCCAAAACAAAAAAAAAAAAAAAAAAGGAGGGTGGGAAATCGAGTCCAGCGGGGGGATTCAGGACTGGTGGGCTCTCAGAGCAGACGGTGGTGGCGGCACACTCGGGACAGTCGCATTCCAAGACACAAAGGCCTGTAAGAATAGCTCTGTGGCAGGGTTTTCGCTGGACCATAAAATGTCGAGATATCCCCCCCACACACCCTCTAAAAGATAAGGCGCAGGCCCCACAGCGGGTCTGGCCTGCCGAGCCTCCTCTTTCCAGGCAGGGAAGGGAAAATATTTATGACAGTCCCCAGTGACCCAGATGCTGGGAGCCCAGAGCCTATAGGGTTCAGCTTGGTACTCTGAGCAGAGGAGGATCAGAGAAGGCAGGACTGGAAGCAAGGCTGGAGCCTGCTGTGCTGGTGGAGGAGGCCCCCCTCCCCCCCCACATGTCCCCCCCCCCAGCTGTCCTGGACCCCAGGGAGGCCTGCAGCCCTGGCGCAGCCCTCCTCTGGCCCTCCCCTCCTGCTGCTCCAGGGCCAGAGTCCTGGACGTTGCAGAGTTTGGGCAGTCCCTAAGTCAGGTGGAGGTGGGTTCCTCCAAATTCAAGGGATCCTGGAAGTGTCTTTTGCTGAGGCACCCTTGAATCTCCTTTGTGAATTTGACTGACAGGGGCCATTTTCCCAGAGATTATTTAGATGACATAGGGACTGGGCATGGGCGAGGGCAGGGGGGTGGTGTTGTTCTACACCATGCTTTCCTGCCCTGCCATTCCTTCATCCATCCCCAGAGCTGGGCTCCGGATGGGGAAGGAAAGATCTGGTTTTCTAACAGCCTCCTTCCTCATCCAACCCTGAAAGCCCAGGATGTGGAAAGAAAATAGGCAGCAAAATTTTTCGTGATGCAAAAAGCTAAAGACGCAGGCGTGTCCGTCAGGTATTATTTCCCTGCGTGCCTGGGTGCACGGTGCCCGTGAGGGGAGAGGGGTGCTTCCAGGCATGCATGACAGTTGGGGGAGCCTGCATGCGACGCCGTCTCAGGGTGGAAGGTAGCCCACCCAGGACTGAATGTGTGTATCCTGAATGTGCCCCCACTACTGCCCTGTGTGTAAGGGCCTCAGCCACCGTGGAAGGGGAGGACCGGAAAAAATCATTCTCTAATTCCTCTTTCTCATTCGTATGCGCACAGCACACGTAGTATTCACAGCTCTCTCACTTTCTCCTTTTTCCCTCTGTCTGTGTTAAGCCCCACATAACCGTGCACACTTATGGCCAGAGAAGGGTGTTGATGGACTGAGGCTCTTTTATCCGTTTGCATTACCTTGAATTCACCTAGTCTCTCGGGGATGGGCGAGGAACCCCCTAGAGAAACTGTGGGTAAATATCTAAAGAGTGTCTGTTGACAGTTCCCATCCACATCCCGGCCTGGGCAGCCTGCCTGGGGAAGCAGGGGGTGCGGCGGAGCCCAGGGGCCCCTCCAGGCCCAGCTGGCATTTCCTATGGGGTTAGAGTACGCGGGACGAGTAAGAGGCCTGCTGCAGATAGGAGTAGTCTCCCGAGAGGGAGCAGCCCGGATCAGCCCAGCCAAGGGCCGGGGACCCGCCAGCTGCCCTGTCCTCTGTCCCCATCAACTGCTTTGCTGTCAGCACCCCTGGCCAAGCTTGGAGGCAGGAGCCGGTGTGTGAAGGGGCGCGTGAGCGCCCCCACCTCCGCCCGCCTCCTCTGCCCACAGCAGGCAGGCCCCGAGTCTTAGGGGTGGGGGCAGGAGGGGCAGGAGACCCGGAGGGCTGCGGGGAGGGGGGCTATGCTGTGCTGCTGCGCTCGCCCCTTGGGAGTCCCAGACTTGAGGACCCCCTGGGGAGCCCGCCTCTGGGGTTCGGGGCCCTGCTCTGGCACACCCGGCGGGCGGCGGGGGAGGGTCTCGTACCTGTTGAGGTAACCTGAGTTGACCCGCGGGCTCAGGTGTCTGGGTCCGAGGGGAGGAGAGGCGGGAGGGGGCTGGGGAGAGGCACCTTGGGCTGTGAGCGCGCACCTTGGAGAGGCCGCCCCCGCCCGAGCCGGGGCTGGCTCCCCCCACACCACCTCCCCGCCCTCCCGCCCTCCCCTCCCCTTCCTCGCGGTCCCCCAGCCCTGAACCCCTCAAGCCCCGCCGGCGCTGCCTCTCCCTCTCCCTCTCGCTCTCGCTCTCGCTCTCGCTCTCCCTCTCCCTCTCCCTCTCCCTCTCCCTCTCCCTCTCCCTCTCCCTCTCCCTCTCTCTCCCTCTCGCCTGTCTTCATGTCGTGGATTGATGAACGCGAATCGCGTGTAAGCGCCGCCGCCGCCGGAGCCGGAGGAATTCGCCGGGGCTGTTAGAGCGAGGCGCCAAGTGCGGGAGCGCGAGCTGCACGCCGAGCCCGAGCCCGGGAGCGCAGCGCGGCCCGCGGAGCCCAGCCCGGTGCGGGGCGCGGAGGGCGCGGGGGGCGCGGGGGGCGCGGGGGCGCGGGGGCGCGGGGGCGCGGGGGCGCGGGCCGCCGGGGAGGGGCGGCGGGTTCATGTGCCCAGCATGAGCTCCTACTTCGTCAACCCCCTGTTCTCCAAGTACAAAGGCGGCGAGTCCCTGGAGCCGGCCTACTACGACTGCCGCTTCCCGCAGGGCGTGGGCCGCAGCCCCGCGCTCGTGTACGGGCCCGGCGGCTCGGCGCCCGGCTTCCAGCACGCCTCGCACCACGTCCAGGACTTCTTCCACCACGGCGCCTCGGGCATCTCCAGCCCGGGCTACCAGCAGAACCCGTGCTCGCTGAGCTGCCACGGAGACGCCTCCAAATTCTATGGCTACGAGGCGCTCCCCAGACAGTCCCTTTATGGGGCCCAGCAAGAGGCGAGCGTGGTGCAATATCCCGACTGTAAATCCTCCGCCAACACTAACAGTAGCGAAGGACAAGGCCACTTAAATCAAAACTCGTCTCCCAGCCTCATGTTTCCATGGATGAGACCCCACGGTGAGAAGCCTTTTCTCTTTCCCCCTCGGTCGCCCGCGCTCCGGGGTCTTCCCCCCCTCCCTCGCCTCCTTTCTTGTCTGCCCTCGTCCTCTCCCCTCCTGGCTTTGGGGTCTCTCCGGCCCCACCCCCGGCCCGAGTGGGTTTCTGGAGGTGGGGAGGGTCAGCTGGGGGTGGGGCTCGGGGCTCGCCTGGGGTCCGCGGGGCGCCGGGGGTGAAGGGGGTGAAGGTGGTGGCCGGGTGCAAAGGCTTTCCGATCCTGCCCTCCACCTCCCACCTCCCACCTCCCACCTCCTACCTCCCACCTCCCACCTCCCGGGCCGGCTGTCTGTCTGTCTGCCTGTCTCCCTCTCCGTCCCGCCTCTGGCCACCTCTGAGGTCGGAGTTGGGGAGGCGGCTGGCCAGGGGCCCCGAGCACCCTGAGGTTATCAGCCTCTGGAGCAAAGCAGCCTCTACACAAGGCAGAAAGCCTCAGTCCCCACAACAGTGGCCAGGCTGTCTTGGGGACAAGGGGGACCTCTGTTTCCCTCCCCTACCTGGACCACAGGGTGACAGGACCCCCAAGGACAGGTGCCCCGGCTCTCTGGGGGTACCCACCTCCCCCTCGCAGACAACTAGCCTCAAGGCCACCCCCCCAACTTTGCTTTACTTCCCGCAGTTGGAGAGAAGAGAGGGCAGGGGAGGAGAGGGGCCATGCAGATTAGAGGGCTCAGGGGTCCAGAGGACCCAAGCCGAGCTGTCCCCAGTCAAAGGTTTGTGGGCTTTGCCTGACACCTTCAGAGTGGCTCAGGCCATGAGCCCCTCCAGGGGTGGCCCCTCCTGGCCCAATTTCGAAGTAAAAGGGGAAGCGGGAAAGCGACAAGTTCCAGCGGGGATGGCCCGTGATTTATTTGCTGGTCTCCAGTTAGCAATCAGGCCAAGCAGTGATACATTCCAGGAGATCAATTATTTTTCTTCCTGGCAAGGCACTAGGCAGGCAGATCCGAGGAGGGGGCAGTGAGCAGAGCCCCTCTTCTTCACCCCCAGACCTCTTTCCTTTCTTTTGGAAACAGACTCTGTCCCCAGCCCTGCTCACCAAATGCCACTCTGCACTTGTAAACAAAGCTGCAAGGGCCAGTTTCCTGAGACTGCAGGCCTGGGGTGGGTGGGGGACTCTGCAGTGCTCCCCCGGGCTCCTGCCATCCCCCGGGTTCCAGATAGTCCCCAGTCCCTGCCCCCACCCCCACCCCACCTCCCAAGGTGAAGCTAAACCAAAACAAGCCCCCAAACTTTCCTGCCCTTGCCTGCTTCCCTGCTCCTGCCTTGTCTTCAGGAGGGAGGGAGGGGAACTGGGGAGACCATGGAGGGGGGGAAACTTTAGGGGAGAAAGAGTGTCAGGGGAAAGCCAAGCCCCCTCCCAGACATAACCAGATTGGGGTTCTATTCTGTCCAGCTCCGGGGCGGCGCAGCGGAAGGCAAACTTACAGCCGGTATCAGACCTTGGAACTAGAAAAGGAGTTTCTCTTTAATCCTTATTTGACACGAAAGCGCCGGATTGAAGTCTCTCATGCCCTGGGACTGACTGAGAGACAAGTGAAGATCTGGTTCCAGAACCGAAGGATGAAGTGGAAAAAGGAGAACAACAAGGATAAACTGCCCGGAGCCCGAGATGAAGAGAAGGTGGAGGAAGAAGGAAACGAGGAAGAGGAGAAAGAAGAGGAGGAAAAGGAAGAAAACAAGGACTAAGCAAAAAAAAGAGAGATCCCCCCCCCCTCCCTTAGCAACTCCCTTGAAGTTTCGTTTTATGGTAGCGGATAAATTGAGAAGTTTACGACTGTCATTTGCTTTTATAGAGAATAGAATGACACTCACAACTCTAACTACCTGTCAGATACTTGCAGCTCTGGTTTTATTACCTTTGGACTTCCCTCGATCTTTATTTGTTTGGGGGCTGGAGGGGGGGGAGACCGAGACACAGCGAAAAGTTCGGACTCCGTCTCAGTCCTTGCCCCAGCACACACACTTGTCCCTACCCCCACCCTTCGGAGTCCTTCCTGGATTTTAAGGTCTGAGACCTGGCCTCTTCGCCCCTCTCTCACCCCTTTCTTGCCACACTCCCACCTCCCTGCTTCTCTGGTATTTATTTTAGAGGGGAGCCCTCTCAAAATGCGGAGGAAGAAGACTTGTGGCTTTGTTTTTATGCTAGGATTAGTGTATTAGATTTCCTTCTTTGCAAAAGAAAGAAAAGTGAGGGAAGGCAGGCAAGGAAAGGGAGATGTATAAAGAAATTTTTTCAAAATGGTAGCAAGGAATATCCCTTCTCCCTCTCTGGGGCTCCCCCACTTAGAAAGACTCCCCCCCCCCCTTGACTTTCTCTAGAAACCTGATGGAAACCTGAAGGAGATGCAGGTCTCTCCCCTCCCCCTCTCCCCACAGGGTAGATAGGAGCCTGCAGTCCCCGCTAAAATCCTACCTAGCCATCCCATGGTCACTCGGGCCCATGCCTTCCTCCCTTTCGCTGTCTGATTTCTGTTGTTGGGCCCAGCTTCCTCTGAGCTGTACTAGTATTAGCGCTCAGAAATCACCATAATCATGAATACGAATGATAATAATAATAATAATAATACTGATAATGAATCTTTAACATACTACCTAAAGGGAACCTGCAATAATCTTGAAGAAAATAAAAAAGAAATTTTAAAAAATCCTAATATGCAAGAAAAAAAAAGAGAAAAAATTAAAATTCAAAAAAAAAGAGAGAAACCTCCAACGTATTTTATCACTACCTATAGAAAGAAATCCTGCTTTGAGAGTATTCGTAATGCGGTTTTGTTGTTGTTTGTTGCTGCTTATTTCACTAAGAAAAACCCAACAACTGAGACTGCCTAGCCCGCCGGTCCTGTGCGCTTTTATTGTGCTTCTAACCCCAGTAGAGTAGAACTAAATTGCACTGAATGTATAGTTAACTCTGTCTTGAATTCTCTGTTTATGCAATGTGCTCGAAAGAAAAAAAAACGTTAAAATATATCTATAATAATAATTTTTGGTCATTCGTCTTTATGTCCAGCTATGAATGTAGATTTTGTGTCCCGGCAGCCCTGTTCCTGGTCCAAGTACTTTGTATTGTATACGTGAGTCATAATAAAAAAAAAAAGGAGAAAAAATATTTGAGGCTGGAATGACTTGCTTTTTCTCCAAAGCCCCCCTCCCACCCCCAAGCCTCTACTCCTCCTTCTCTCCTTATCCCCTTTCCCCAGCACTGTGGAGAAGGGCTCCACCACTGATCTGACTTTGAGGTGGGGAACTCACGTGGAGAGGCGCCTAGGAGTTGAGAGGGCAGGCCTGGGGAGGGAGGGAGGGAGGGAGGGAGGGAGGGAGGGCAGGTGAAAGGTGGGGGAGGTGCAGAGGGGGAGGGGGGAGGGCAGCAGGCTCCCGTGTGCTCTTGGGAGAACCTTGGCTCCAAACAAAATGGTCCAAAGGAGTGTCTAGATGCCAGGATCCCAGTGGGAAGAAAGCATCTCCCCACTTGCTCACCTTCCTCTTCCTTGGCCTTGGGCTGGGCCCAGACAAAGAATCTGCCCCCACGTCCCTCCCACAGTCAGGCCTCTTCCAGGGGCTGAGGATAAGGCAGTGGGGTTCTTTCTGAGCTCCACAGTCCCTCAGGTCAACCCTGGGCACCCAGCACCCAGCACGCAGCACCCAGCACTAGAACAGTGACCAGGGTGGGAGGAAGGTGAGGCTCAAGGCAGCCTGGAGGACTTGGCTGGGGAAGACGGCCAAGGGTGGGGGGCGAGGGAGCTTGAGCCTGGGGGAAAGGAAAGGAAGGGGAAGGTGAGTGAGTTGGTACACCAAGCAGCCTGGGTCCATGTTCTGAAATTCAGATTCCGTCAGCACAGAGCCATCACTGTCACCCAGGCCGCCAGCATCTACTCCAGCCTCTGTTCTGACTGTTTCAAGCCGGCTCCCGGCTTCACCTTGGCAATTGGGCAGTCTGCCCTGCCCTGGTAGTGTGGGCCATTGGCCTGGGGGCGAGGAGGATGGGCCTGCTCGGTGGCGGGCCCTCCATCCCAGCCACAGCAGGGTGAAGAGAGTCTTCATTGGACTCCTCAAATAAGGGGTTGAAGCCTCAGGGACTCAGGGGGCAAAGGGGTCTCTCACTCCTCCCTGGAGGGTCCTAGCCAGAGAAATCTGTTTATGCCAGTGAGATTCTGGTCAAATAATCCCAAATTCCAGAGATACAAGTCATCTGACTCAGTCAGGAGGAGGGGGAAAGGGAAGGAGATGGGATCTCCTGGTCCACAAAACCAGATTCCCCAAAGACTGAAATATTTTTGAGGCCAGATCTCTTTTTCTCTCTATCTCTCCCTCTCCCTCTGATCAGTGATTTTCCCAGACTTAGACCCAGGCTGACTCTTATTTTGTGTAATTTCACCTGCATCTGGGTCCCTGGCTCCCTCAAAAAGTCATGAATACAGGATTGGGTCAGGCATCCTTGCTGGGGGACTCCTGCGGCCCGAGAGAGGCTGCCGATTTCCGAGCTTAGGCTGCAGGCAGCCGGGAACAGCTTTGAACAGCTCTGGGGGTGGGGTGGGGGAATCTTTGGAAACCTGGGGTCCCTGCTGCGAGCCTCTGCGCCAGCCAGGTAACCCCGTTTGCTGCAGGAGGCACGGGCTACCCGCCGGGGAGGCCCGAAGAGAGCATTTGGCTCCGACCTCAGGCCTTCCCACGGGCATCCCTGCCAGACTCCGAGGGTCGGCCGCGGGGCCGTTTCATTTTTTTATTGTGGAATTATGACTGTTATTAATAAACATCGCTGGCCCCGCCGTAGCCAAGTTGCTTGAACCCTATGCTAAGTGGCTCCCAAGGATCTCGCCGAATTTCCCCCACACCCAGCGCCCCATTCATCCCTGGCCCTGCTCAGCAATGCCCGTGGCCCCGAGCCCGGCGTCGGAGGGCGGGGTGCGTCTGGCGCCCGGCATCGCTAGAGATGCGAAGCCTCGGGTGGGCCAGACCAAGAGAGCTCCCGCCGCCCCTTCCAGCAGCACCCGCTCCCCCACCCCTTCTGCCCACCGCCTCTTTTTTCTCGTTTGGAGAGAAAAGGAGGTAAAACCCGTTTTATGGGGGAACTTAATTGCGAGCGGGATGCGCTCTCTTTAGAAACGCGTCCTCCCAAATGCTCCCGCCGCCGTCCCATTACCGGAATGGGGACCATTCGGCTGCAGCAGATAGGACTTTCTCCCATTCTTTACTTTTTTATTAGCCAATCAAAGTGGCTTCCGAAAGCTATTTGTGATTTGTGAAAAATAGTATCTTTCAAAATGCTGAGTTGAAGCATCTCGCTCATTTCGCCTTGAATTTATTATTCTAATCTCAACCGTAGAGACGGGATAATGCAGCTATTAAGTTGGGGGGCAAATTCGTTTCTCTGGATTTTTTTTTCTAATTCTCGGCATTTTATCTCCCTCCCCACTTCATTGCAGAGGCCAAGGGAGGTGCGGGCCTGCAGGGGACCTGGGAATGGGGGAGGTAGTGAGTGCTCTGAAGGGCTTTGTGGGGGACCCTAGGATGGGAGAGCGGGCTGGCCTCCCCCAGCCTCATCTTCCTCAGACGGGATGCCCCACAGGCTGCCTGCCGGCCGCAGAAAGTTACCTCGCCCCAATTAGACCGAACTCGGGACAGGTTGTGCCACAGACGATCAGTAAAATTTCCGGTGAGCAGCCCGCAGCGCTGTCCCATTCTCCCAGCGGCCCATTGTGAAAAGCTGGGCCAGAGCTCCCTTGTCGTAATTTTTAACTACCTGTTATAAAATTTATGGGTGGGTTTGTAAAAGAAACTGGGTCTCTGCATCCGGCTGAGGGAACTGCTTCCCTTACTGAGGGAGGAAGTTTGGGGAGGGGATGAGGGACCCCCTATTGGTTGGGGTGGGGCACCCAGCCGTGGAAGTCCCCTTGCCAGCTCCGTGCGGGATTCAGGGGAGAGCTTTGGGCCTTCAGATCTCGGGCTGGTGGGGAGTGTTGGGCTGCGACTCGGCTGGGCTGCGACTCGTTGTTGGCAAATAGTCTCTATGGGGGGGGGGGATTTATTCTGGGTTTCCCCACACTGAACTCCTCGCCAAAATCAGGGGTCTGGAGAAAGGTGGGGGATATCTCTGGTGCTGGGAATTTAGCACAGAAGGCGGAATTAGGGGAAGGATAAGTTTCTTTGTGTGTGGGGGGGGGCTCTCCAAGGTGCGTCCCGGTTAGCCAGGCAGCAGAATTTTTCTGAAAACGGCAGGCGGGTGTGGGTCACCTGCCAAGACAGAAAAGGCTTCAAACCACCTTGCACCCGAAAGGGGGAAACAAGTAGGAACCAGGATCCTGGGCCTTGGTTTTATTTGTAATTCTAGACAGATTGGGAGTAACTGCCATCTGAACCTAGGAGCCGAGGAGCCCTGAGGCTGGGGATGGTCCTGGAGAGGGGGCAATGGTCCTTTTCTCGGAGGAGGGAGCGTGGGGGTGATGGGCACTTTGGGGGGTGGAGGCTGCCCGCAGCCCTCACCCCTGCCGGCCTGCGCAGCTGCCTAGGGCGCGTCCCAGCCCCGCGGCTGCAGACCTCGGCCCGCGGCCGGGCTACGGGGCCTCCAGCGGCGCGGCCCTCCGGTTCCCGCGGGGCAGAGTGGGGGGCAGAGTGGGGGGCCGCCGGGGCTCCCCGCGGGGACGGGCGTAGCTCCCCTGCAAGGAAAAAGGCGGGAGGAGGGAGCGCACCCCTCCTGCGCCCCTGCGCCCGGTGCAGAGCTCGGGTTCCCCCGCATCCCACCCCGATACCCCACTCATTAGGGGAAATATTTAGGATTCGGCGCGGCGGAGGGAGGCGGGCGGCCCGCGCGGGAGAGCCAGAGCCGGCCCGCGCCCCCGGCGCCCCCGCGCCCTTCCCGCGCGAGCCGGCGGCCGGGCCGTGGCAGTGGGCGCGGGGCGCGCGGGGCGCGCGGGGGGCGCGGGGGGCGCGGGGGGCTCCCTCTCCCGGAGAATTGGGTAAACATGGCGACCGCGGCGCCCATTTGCACACGCTACACAAATGCATCGCATTCCCGGTTGTTTGCAGAAAATTTACAGCTGAGTAATAAAAGTTTACGATCGACTCACAAGTTGGATTGGCCACAAGAAGTCATGTGGATTCCATCCATGAACGTGAACTTTTTATTGTGGTTTGTCCGTTCGGAGCGCTCCGCAGAACAGTCCTCCCGTAAGAGCCTCCCCACTGCCAGGGAAACCTGCGCGGCCGCTCCCTCCGTTGCCACTATTATTTTATTTTTTATTAATCTGATTAATAATTATTTTCTCCCCGCATTCAATTTTTTTCCCCTCCCAGGTGGAGTTGCCGGAAGCTGGGGGCACCTGGGGAGGGGGATGGGGGAAGGGGCAGGAGTTGGGGGCGCCCGTCTCCCTCCCGATGCCCCGGCCCCCCAAGGGGCAGGAGGCTGCGGGAGCAGGAGTGGAGCCGCGAGCTGCAGAGCCTCCGCCCCTCCCCTCTCCCAGCCTCTCCCTCCTGCCCCCTTCTTGCAACTCCCCTTAATTTTATTTGGCTTTTCGATCATTGGGACTATTCTCTCTCTTTTTTTTTTTAATTTTTAAATTTATATAAAGTGCCTATGAATGTGTGGAGCTGAGACAGGCTCGGCAGCGGCACAGAATGAGGGAAGACGAGACAGAGAGAGTGGGAGAGAGAGAGAGGCAGAGAGAGAGGGAGAGGGAGAGTGACAGCAGCGCCCGGTAAGTGTTTCCTTATTGGTTCAAATATGTAACTAATGGTCCGTAGCTGGGTGGCGGTTTCAAGATAAGGACAGCAGCGGCTCGTCTCGGTTAGAGAGGAGAGGGGGGCTGGCGAGAGGGGGGCGTGCGGGCCAGCAAGGGGAGGAAAAGTGGGGGTGGGGTGGGGTGGGGGTGGGGGGCCGGGCTGCCAGCCGGTGTCCTGATGTCACCGTGCGCCCTAGCTGGGGTCGGGGGGCTCAAGGCCGGGGTCTAGGGCGCCGACCCGCTGCGTGGTGCCCACCCCGTCCTTACCTAGGAGGGACCCGCGGCCTCCCGGCTAATGGGAGCTAATGGGACCGGGACGGAGGGGGCCCGGAAGCTCAGGCTGCAGGGCCGGAGCGAGCACTGTAGGCCGTAACCATGGCCCCCCGAGCAAAGC